CTACACTAACAATGGCTCAAAATTCAGAAATAATACAGGAAAAAATTGATCAATTTGATTACATAAAAATTAAAAATCTCTTTTACTATAAAAATACCATAAGTAAAGTAAGAAGATGAAGGAAAAACTTGGAAAAATATTTATAACTTACATCAATAGACAAAGTTTACCATCTCTAGTATATAAAGAGCTCTAAAAAATGGAATAGGAAAGTACTGACAACACTATAAAAGATGCACTAGAGATATGAACAGATAGTTTGCAGAAAAAGAAATGTACATGGACCTTAACCAAATGAAAAAGATGTTCAAGCTCACTCTTAACAAAGGAAATGCAAATTAAAACTACACTGAGATATTATTTTTTTATCTAGCACATGAGCAAAAATCCAAACATTTGACAATATACTTTGACAGGAAACAGGCACTCACATACATTGCTATTTTGGGGGTGCAAAGTGGTATGGCTCCTACGGAAGGACTTTGCAATAGTTAGCAAAATTATATATGTATTTGACCTAGCAACCCCTCTTTCAGATATCTATCCCAATGATACACTGTCAAAATGCAAAAAGACATTGGCATGAAGCTATTTGCATGCAGCAATATCTGTAATAGCAAATACTAGAAACAACTCAAATGTCCATCAGTAGGAAACTGGCTGAGTAAACCATGGTGCTCGCACACGGAGTTCTATGCAGCCATACAGTGATGTTCAGGTGCACAGTTAAATGAAGAAAAAAAAAGGTGGAGAACTGTATGTATACTATACTACTGTTTATCTAAGAAGGAACAGTAACAAATATATATAGTTTATATCAAAATATGTAAGAAAAAATCCCCACAAAGTGGAAGGAACCAGATGGAAAGCATAGAGAGAAAAGGCAGACTTCTCTGCATACTCATATATCTTGTTACATAGATTTGACATTAGAACCAAGTAAGGAGTTTATATAATTATTAAGAAGTTTAAGGGCCGGCCGAGTGGCACGATGGTTAAGAACTGGCTTGGGACTCCAGAGGGACCCGGTTCGGATCCCACATATGAGGGCCAGTGACACTGCCCTCCACAGCTAAGATGCTGAACAACAGCTCAACCTGGAGCTGGGCTGCTGTGAGTCGCCAGCGATGGCGTAGGCTGCAGCCCCTGTGGCAGTGGGTTGCCATAGGCTACCGTATGTAGCCAGCAGCCAGTGTGAGCAGCCAGCAGCCGAAGTGAGTGGCCATCCAGAAGCCGGCGACTGATCTGCCTCACCTGGGAAGAGCGCAATGATGGTGCCAACTTGGGTCAGTGAAGCAACATCCTCCACAACTAGACTGAAGAACAAAATGACAGCAACTTGTCTGTTCCCCTTCCCGCAATTCCCCAGCACTGTTCCCATCCCCCCAATTCCCCAATTAAAAAAAAAAAGAAGTTTAAAATAGTTTTAAAAGGTAATCCTTTGAAAACAATATGAAATTGTGATTTGAGTTATGGCATAACTGCACAGAGAGGAACTGTTGCAAGTGACTTTAAATCACAGTATATAACTGTACATACATCAAGGATAAAAAGTACTCCAAAAATAAATCCTGAAGTATTTTTAGTAATTATATTATTAATGAGAGCATTTGTTATTTTGAGACTGCAGTGTGTGTGTTGTGGGACAAATCACTTGAGCAATTCTGTTGGTGTCTTTGAGATGCAAATTTCTAGAGTGGAATAGAAGATCAATCAGGTTAAATTTTAAAAACCCTGTGGTTCTAACTTTGAATTAGAAGTATCAGTACGAATTCATGATATATGTCATCTGTTTTAAAAATGTACTTAGCTCTGTCTACTCAAAGGCCTAGATGCAATGACCAACCCAGTAGCTGCAATGGACATCCCTTAATCACCGAGATTGTGGTTTAAATACTTAAATCCTTAAATACTACAATCACATTGAAAAGAAGCAGGGCTCCTTAAAGAAATAGCTGACTCCAGGTCCGGAGTAGGATATTTACATCTCATCATACCAGAAAGCAAGGAAGCTATCTAAGACTATGAGGGTTGAGTCAAAAGGATTCAGAAGCCCATTGAAGAATCTCCCATTTGTCAATGATGGGAAATTTGAGCATTAGTAAGGATAATAACTGCAATTGATTGAAGCACATAAATTATGTTTAAATGGTTCATAATGATGCTAAAAAATAATTTATCGGTCGCTTATGGAGAATTCCAGGGAGCCATCTCATTGTTTTGAAAACTGTAAATAAAGAGAAAAATCCAAGTACTTATTCTGTCTTTCCTGTTTGAACTGTATCTCAGTGTAATCAAACAGTTGGTGAAAGAAGTTCCCCTTTAGAGAAGCAGTACTGTTAATACATAAATAATGATAAAATTACAATATCACCATAACTTCCAACATCACAAAGAGAAAAACAATCAGACATTGTATATCTCCTGATGAAGTGTGAATACCACCTATGACATATTCCTGCCAAAACAATAAACCTAGCTCTGATCAAACCTCGAGATCTAAATACTGTACAAGCTAATAGGCAGCACAGGGGAGAGGAACATGTTAAAACAAAACAAAACAAAACAAAAACACAAAACCTAGACTGTGAAAAATTCTACAGGTCAAATGACCCAGTTTATTAAAAAAATAAATTGTAAAGAAAAACAAAAGAGAGATGGAGGGGGGGACCTATAGAAAGGGACTAAAGAATATACGTATTGATCAATTGCAATTTGAGGACTTTAATTGGATTCTGATTCAAAAAACAAACTGAAAGGGGGGAAAAACCCTTATGAGGCAGTTGAGGAGATATGACCCCTGATCAGATCATTAGTAATACTAAAGAATTGTTGTTGTTGTTGTTGTTGTTGTTGTTATCTTACATACAGGCAGTGGTGGTGGTGGAAGGTAAGTGGGTAGGACGATGAGTACAAGATTTGCCAAGAGTTGATCATTAATAAATTCGCATGTGGCACATGAAGATTCCTTATGCTGTTCTATCTACTTTTGTTTGAAAATTTCTGCAATAAAATGTTAAAAAGAAAAAAATATATTTAAATTATTTTTTGAAGATGAGGAAATTCTTGTCTATGAAAGACTCCTGGTGACATTATTGTGGCTCAGTAAAATACCTAGAATTGTGGTGATTCACCCTGCAATTATGAAGAAAGCCTACCAAGGATAAAGCCCAAACATTCCTGATAATAGAGCAGAATAATACAAACAACCTGGTTCTTGACAACCGAGCCACAGAATAAACCAACCCCGGAGCTGCTCGACCTCTGGGTATCTAGTTAGATGATAACTGTCTGTCTGCTGTTTACTCCATGTTGGGTTTTCTGTTCCTTGCAGCAGAACCCATCCTAACCGAAACAGTGGAGAAGAATGCTTTTTTGCGTGTGTGTTGATAACTTAAGAGTGGCACTGGGTAATATTTCTGCTCCATCTTACAGGATGTTTAGTGAAACAGCATCCCTTAATTGCGCCATAGGCCTTAGACTTATGAGTCTAATGCAGGGCTTATATTGAGACCAGTTCAAAACAAATCTAAGATACCAGCCTGTACCTTAGAGTTTGACATTGTATCATCTTCCACCTATATCCCACCCTAGTTTAGCACGGGCGAAAATCCGAGTGATCACACTGCTACAAACAGATAGGGACTAGCATTCCTCCACCCACCACCAGTGATGGGGTCCTTGCTGCCACCTCGCTGGAGGGTGATATGATTCCAGGATCCTATTCTTAGGGTCCACTTCTTAGGACTACATCCCAAGCCAATGATCCTAGGTGGAGTTCCCTAGAACAGCTTGAAGCAGGAATTTTGAGGCAGAAGATTTATTGAAAGGATGCTCTCAGGAGAATAGGGGAAGGAAAGAGGACAGGACAGGGGAGAAAAGCTAAGCAAGGATGTAATCTCTGCTGGAAACCAACTTCAGCCTGAACCACTGGTTAGCTCGGAGCAAGAACTGGCCCACAGAGTTGGCCCCACCTTTTGTAACAGGATCGCAGTTAGTCACTGTGAGTGGCCTGGAGTGACAGGGGGTGTGTAACACTCACAGCAGCTGGGAATAAATGTGCTGGTCCAGTGGGGGGGGGGAGGATCTAGGCAGATCACCAACAGCATCCACTACAACTTCCTAAGTTACTCCAAGTAATAGCCCAACTCTTCCTAGACCCTGCCTGACCTGATCTAGCCCATCCCTGCATAACCATTCTCTTTGTCTCTGAAACCATCTCCAACTACTCTCCCTCTTTTCCACTCCACTGTAGCCATACTATACTGGCCACCTTGGAATTCCTCAAATTCGTGTGTGTGTGTGTGTGTGTGTGTGTATTCGTGTGCTTCAGCTCCTTTGCCCTTCTCAGCTCCCCCATCTGGAATGATTCTCCCCCGCCCTCCCCTCCTCCTGTCCTCACATCTTCATGACTAGGTCCCTTATGCATCCTTCATGTTTTTATTCACAAGACAGCTTCTTAGTAAGACCTTCTCTGGCTACCCCATCTAAAATCACAACTCCCACATCTAACCAACACTTATAACCCCTTCACTTTCATTACTTTTCTTTTTAAACACATATCAGTATTTAACATACTATATAGTTTTCTTATTTCTTTTGTTTATTGTTTGATCATACCCTAGAATATAAACTGGAAAAGGTAGGAGTTTTTATCTTTTTATTTTTTATTTTCAGCACTTAAAACTGGTAGGTTACTGGTGCTCAGTTAATATTTGTTGAATACACGAATGAACGAAGGAATGAATGATTCCTGGCACAAAGTGTTAAGTCCTCAATAAACAGTGATTGAACTGAACTAAACAGAAATGGAAAATATGGGGACAGCCCCCGTGTAATATTGATGGGAGAAAGGACACATCTATTACTATATACAGAGTTCTCCTTAGATTACATGATTGTTTTGGATAATATTGCAACTTTCATGTGATTATATATGTGCATATGTTAATATATAATATATTATTTATACATATATTAGTGAATAAAAATAGAAGCACTAAAGATTTTCTGATTTTATTTAAATGAGTTCAAATCAAAACTCAAGAATCTAGACTTACACACACTGAAGTAAAAATAAAAGTATAGCAAAATTAACAGATAGCTCAATTCCTACGATATAAAATTTAAATCCAAAATGGAACTCTTGAAGCCCTTTACTGCACTGTCATATTCTGATCTGAGCCTAGAAAACTCTTCAGACACATAAAATCTCAAATCTCTCAATCCTGAAACCTATCAGTAGATACCAAAAATCTTCAAGGCACATTAAAGTTTTCTATAAAAGAAGTTTTTTTTTTTTCAAACTTAGATTACTAAACCTACAGAAGCACCTATCAGACTCTCTTATAGCGTTTTTTTGCTGAAGTGTAAACCAGCATGAAATTAGCCTTGAGCAGAGGTGGCCCCAGAACCCACACTGGTTTCTTCCTGTGACTCATCCTCAGCAGAGGATCCTGACTCAACTGGAGAATTTTCTTTTTCTAGTTCAGCAGATTCACCATTGCTTTCGTTCTCTGTTGTACCTTTATCATTATCAATGGCAACAGCTTCCTCCGGAGCTGCATTCGTAACCTCTGAGGGAGCTTGGGTGCTGACTTCTGCGGTTTCGCCAGTGGCTGCATTTGGAACCTCTGGCCCAGTTTCAGCACCAACTGCCGTGGTCTCCTCTGGGGCAGCCTCTACAGGGTCAGGGCCCGCTGCAGCCTCTGTTAGGACTGCGACTGTGGCATCTGGGATTTCTCCAGCAGCGATGGCCGGAGCTTCTACTGCAGATACTTCAGGGCTTTCTGAACTTGCTTTCTCTGCTCCCACAAGGTTCTCTTTTTCACCTTTAAGATGTAGTCCATTAAACAAAACATAAATTTTTTAAAAATAATTTTTAAAATTAGTTTCAGGTGTACAAAACAACATAAAGATTAAATATTTACACCCCTCACAAAGCGATAACTCCCCCAAGTCTATTACACTATTACATCTCTAACATTGTATATAGCTATTACAATACCATTGACTATATTCCCTATGCTGTACTTTACATCCTGTGACGAGATATATATATATATATATATATATATATATATATTTATTATTTTATAGTTGACATTCAGTATTATTTTATATTGGTTTCAGGTGTACTGCACAATCATTGGGCATTTATATAATGGTTGGGCACTTATTGAAGTGATTCCCCCCAATAAGTCCAGTATGCATCTGACACCCTACATGTCTTTACAACATTATTGATTATATTCCCCATACTGTATTTCACATCCCCATGTGACTACCAATTTGTACTTTCTAATTCGAATCTTCACCTTCTCCCCCTAACCCCGCTCCCATCTAGCAACCATCAGTTTTTTCTCTGGATTTATGAGTCTGTTTCTGTTTTGTGTGCTCATTTATTCTGTTCTTTAGATTGCCCATATAAACGAGAGCATATGGCATTTGCCTTCCTCTGTCGGACTTATTTCACTTAGCATAATAATCTCTAGGTCCATTCATGTTGTTGAAAATGGTAAGATTTCTTTTTATGGCAGAGTAATACTCCATTGTATAAATGTACCACAATTTCTTTATCCAATTGTCTATTGATGGACATGTTGGTTGTTTCCATATCTTGGTGCTGCAGTAAACATAGGGTTGCATATGTTTTTTCAAATTAGTGTTTTGGGTTTCTTTGGATAAATACACAGGGATGGAATTGCTGAGTCATAAGGTAGTTTTAGTTTTAGAAAGCAAAGTATTAATTGAAAGAGCATGGGAAGACAGTGGAACACTGTGCAGTCATTTAAAAAAATGAGACAGACCTATATGTACTTATATGTAAGGTCTTCAAGGTAGACTGTTAAGTAAAAAAAAACAAGGAATAGATCAATGCATACAGTTTGGTACTATTTGTATTAGGACAAAAGGGGGGGAAGTTATATACCTAGATAGTTATATTTACAAAGGCTCTTTCCGGAAAGATTCAGAAAACCTGGTGTAATTGGTTGCCTCTGGGGAGGGAAAATGGGGAATCTGCTTTTCTGTAAACCTTTTAAACCTATTGAACTTAAAAAAAATAATTTACATATATTATTTACTCAAATACAAAGATCAGGAAAATATATAGCCAACCTGTCATATGAGCATAGAAAAGCCAACTTACAAGCCGATGACTGAGGAATCACTAATCCATTCTCAACCTTGGTTCCATCATCTATAAAGTGGGGATATTAATAATATTTATCTCACAGAGCCATTGTGATGACTGATTAAAACACAATGTGTAAAAGGTGTTTAAAACCACTAAGCTGCTATAGAAAGGCTGTATTTTATTATTATTACAATCAGTCTTCTCATGATTATATGCAATAATGTTTACTGATGATATTCTGTTTCTTACTATTATCATAACTAAAAGGTTAAAACTGGTCCATGCACAACTATTATCTCTATCCCAAAATATTGATAATAATGGCATTATAGTTGAGATGGGGAACAGTGTGGTTTAACGCAAGCAGTTTAAGGCAAGAAACATACCTTAGGGCAGCGGTTCTCAACCTGTGGATCGCGACCCCTTTGGGGGTCGAACGACCCTTTCACAGGGGTCGCCTAAGACCATCGGAAAACAAAAAGATATTTACATTATGATTCATAACAGTAGCAAAATTACAGTTATAGAGTAGCAACGAAAATAATTTTATGGTTAGTGGTCACCACAACATGAGGAACTGTATTAAGGATCGCAGCATTAGGAAGGTTGAGAACCGCTGCCTTAGGGTGAAAATATAAAGTTTCTGTTCCTGTAGTTGTCAGTTTATTAATCGAATCAATGAGGGACTCAGTGTCCCTCTGCTAATGTCAAGTATACTTTGGACAAAGACACACAGGTGGTCTTAGCCAAAACTGAAAAATTAGTGTTATGGTTTGAAAAAATGAGGAAAATGAAAGATCAAGCTGCTGAGAGAGACAGATATTAACATTATGCCTGCATGAATGGAATCCTCAGCAGGGGAAAAGTAATATTACCACACAAAGAAGTCAAAAATGCTGGTCAGCAGTATCAATGTAAAACGTTTTCTTTTATCAAATGCACTCATCCAACATGTATAACAGTATTCTTTAGGTTTTGGCTGGGCTTTTCCTTTCTGAACAAACTCCTACCCAGAGCCATTCTAGATTAGGTTAGTAAACAAGCCAAAAGCAAATAGTGTTTTTTGCTAGGCTAAGATGATGGAAATCAGTGCCTTAAGGAAAAAAAAATAATAATGAATTCACTTTACCTTGAAGTGGCTGTAACTCCGCTTGGGTTTTTTCTTTCACATTTTTTATATGTTCGGTGTGTTTGGCTTGCTTTGATGTTACTGTCCTATAAGTCTGAAAGTAAACGTGTGCTTAAGTTTATTTCTTGAGCATTTTTTCCATCATGATTTATATTCATCATGCCAAGTTCAAAGGTATACAAGAATACAATTTAAAGAAGAGAAATCAATCAATGCACACCATCTATTCTTTTGTTTCCCCTTTGAAAACCTTTGTCATCGAGTAGAATGCTTTAAAAAGGAAAGATAAATGCTCTAACAGGCGTCAAAGATAAACGAAAACACACACAGTAAATAGACAAGGACAGCTTATAAGACCAATATGCTGAGTCAGCACCCTCAGTTCTCAGCACACCAAAGCAGAACCTGTGCGAAGTTCATATTCCTGAAATGACCATTCCAGCAGCAATGTGCAGCAGCAACCATTAGGGACTTATGGTTTAAGGGGCTAGAATACAGGGTAAAAAAAACCCTACTTTAGACAGAATTGAAGAGATGATGACATTAGAAAAATTCACTCATGAGTGGCCCAGAGAATCTAGCTTTTCCAAATCTAATATAGTCAAGCAGAATAGAAGAAAGGCCTGTTAGAAGAAGGGATCTCAAATTTAGACTTTGGAGGTTATTTCCAAATGATATCACTTATTTATTAAATGGAAGCATTTAAATATTCCACAACTTTTATAAACCAGTCTGGCATTATGTTGTTTACTATATGCAGATTCTCAAAAAATTGAAGTGACCTGGGCCTTTCTCAAATTCTAAGAGGTCCTACTAGTAGATTTTACTTGGAAATGAAAACCAGCTCTTGGCTACTGAGCATCTGTGGATTCAATTCACATAAATCTAACACAGAACTTGTTTTAGTACAGGACACGGCAGGGGAGGGGAGGACTAGAATACAAGTTTTCAAGTGCCTCACACCCTGTATTTCCTCCTGAAATTAGCCCAAGATTCTTAGGAATTAAGGCTTCCAACATTCAAGATGAAAACTATATAATCTTAGAGGTGGAAAGGGACTTAGAAGGGACTTATAGACCATCACTTGTCCAGCTTCCACTCCCACTGTGAGAGAACAAGGCCAGAAAAGGGCTCTTAGGAGTAGCCAGTTTATAACCTTCCATAACTTTGGCAAAGGACGATTTCGCAGACTGGAGAGGTTTGTGTCTGGCACTAGAAAACATAATTAAGGGTACAGAGGTGCCCAGGTGAAATTCAGTCTTCCAGCTTCCCACATAATTGCAAGGCCTAATCCAATATCGATTTTTCTGGAGGCCTATATCCAACAACAGTAGCCCCGGGAAGAATTCAACATTAAGCAGTAGAAAGATGATAGAAGCAAAGGAATCTGGGTATGAGTGAAAGCTCGTCGATTAGGGGAGGGCAATAACATAAGTGCCATGTTTGAGGTTTCCTGACTTCTTGAGGCTCTCAAAATACTGCAGATTAGAATATTTATTTTGGTTTGGCCATCTACATAGTCCTACAAACTGCTCCTAGTTATGACTAAAAATCCCTTTATGCAGATATCTGTAGGCTCAAACCAAAACGTAATGATTGTATGCTTTTATGGTTTCCAAAGAGTATACTTATTCTACTTTTATTCATAATGAAGATCAGATTTCGATTTACAAAGTTTATGACAAAATGGGGAATAATTCAATAGGCTTATCTTATTTAACTCACAAATGTTCCATTGTTTTAGCTCCAAAATCATATTATTAAAAGCTTTGTTTTACAGTGATTATCTGGGAGTGGAGGATGGATATGAAGACCATCCTCCTATATATAAAATTGGATATAATTTTATATATCTATTTTGAATTTTTTTAAAATTATGAATAAACATTAATTTTTTTAAATAAGAAAAGTATATAAAGATATGAAACTAATAAAAACTATGGAGACAGTAAAAAGATTGGGTAGAGGAGGGAGGAATGAATAGGTAGAGTACAGGGGATTTTTAGTGCAACTATTCTGTATGATACTGTAATGGTGGATACATGTCATACATTTATCAAATGTAAAAACCCACAGAATGTACAACGCAAAGAGTGAAGCCTAAAGTAAACTATAGACTTTAGTTAATAATGTATCAATATTAACTCATCAGTGCCAAACTAAAGCAAGATTGTTGACAGGGGAAAGTGGGGACAGGGGTGAAAGGAGGTACATGGGAACTCTGTGCTTCCTGTTCATTTTTCTAAAAACCTAAATCTGCTCTGAAAAATAAAGTCTTTGTTGTTTTTTTAAAGTTAATCTTTCAAAACAGTTCCCATTAAATGTTAATAATAGTAACTATCTTATAGAATTGTTGTAATTGTTAAATGAGCCATGAGTCTGTCATATGACACTCAAATGTCAGCTATTATTAATATTTGTGATAACACTGTTTTTATTGAAAGTCACCCATACTTACTGGTATTATGAAATGTTGATTTTTCTACTTAAAAAATCTTCAGAATCTTGTTATTTATTTAATCCCATTTCCTGTCCTTGACATTGCTTTGAGTTTAACCACAGGTTGAAAATATATGAATTGCTGAACACGATGGTTATTTCAACACTTACGTAGTATCCACCAGCACTGACCGTGACACCGACAACCAGATAGTAGATCATATTGGATCCAGGCGATCCAGGGAATTTGTTAGATGACACCCACCTAAGAGATGCTAAGAAAACAAATTTAAGCACAGTTAGCTGTGTTTAAACCACTTGAGCAAAGCTATTTTATTTTATTTATTTATATTTTAAAGATTTTATTGGGGAATTGGGGGAGGGGAACAGACAAGTTGCTGTCCTTTTGTTCCTCAGTTTAGTTGTGGAGGACGTCGCTTCACTGGCCCATGTTGGTATTATCATTGCACTCTTCCTGGGTGAGGCAGTTGGGTCGCCAGCCACTGGACGGCAGCTTATGCCAGCTCTTGGCAGCTCACATCGGCCGCCAGCCACTCAGGCTGACTGCCTGCCACTCACAGTAGCTTATGGCAGCCCACTGCAGCAGGGGCTGCAGCCTACTACGTCGCTGACTCTCAGCAGCGCAGCTCCAGGTCAAGCTGTTGTTCACCATCTTAGCTGTAGAGGGCAGTGTCACTGGCCCTCATGTGGGACCCAAACCAAGGCCCTGCTGCTTACAGCTGGTGTCCCAAGTCAACTCTTAACCAACGTGCAACTGGGCTGGCCCAAGCAAAGCTATTTTAAATAATTACATCTTAAAAATATTTCCACTCAGTGAGCCTAGACTCTATTAACATCAAGTGACATTAGCTTAAGGGAATTCAGTATTAAGAGGTAGGGTAATAATTCCACTTGACATTTTCCCAACCTAATTTGACAAGTACTTATGAAACCTGTCATTTTGATGCCTAGCATCATGCTTTTCTTGAAAGGAGTGCAGGTGTGGGTAAAGGAGAAATGACAAAAGCACTAAACAATTTTAAGCATCAAATGAGATGCATATTAGCAAAATAAATCCATTTACCGTATGTACTCCACAACAGGATTTAGTGGAAAAGATTTTTCAAAAAAATGAATTAAATATATTTGTACTTAAAATTTGCATCTAAATAAAACATTTATGTTGAAATCTAACACAGTTCTGTAAATCTGTAATACAAATGTAGATATAGGAAGAAATGTTTATTTTCTAATGTAAAGTCTTTAAACATGGGCAGTTAGAAGCTTTTTTTAAGACAAATGTTACAGCAAAGTCATATCTGGAAGAAGGACAATTCTGTAGAAACTACATAGAAATAGATAAAAGTGCTGTATTATTATATTTAAATATATTTACTCTACAGTGCTAGAATTTGTACATACTATATGCCCTGGAATTGAAATTTTTATAATAGACTCAAAGCTAGAAGGAGCTTAAAGTTCACATAGCTCAAACTCTTTATTTTGAAGATAAAAAGAAGTAGAGACATTTATTTATCCATCAACAAATACAGTTGAACACCTATTATGTGTTTGGCGTTCTTAGAAGCATTAAGGGAAAAACCATGAACAAGATGCACAGGGTTCCTATCCTCAAGTAGCTCACAGCCTAGAAAGAAGGAACAGATGTCCAGACAAATAACCACAGGCAAATAATTGCAATGCAGTATGACAAATTCTGTAATAGATATAAGCAGTAACTGCAACGCTACCATGAAAACGCAGTGAAAAAACTCAGCTCGTTGGCTCAAGGTAGCTGTCACAATTTTAAAAACATGACCTGCGTTTTAAAGCAGAGTAGGAGTTTGTCAGATAAGGGAAAGGAAAACTGCACTGTAGGGGGAAGGCACAGCATGCACCAAAGTTGTGTGACTGTGAAAGGACAAAGGAATTTGATGTGGCCTGTCATAGAGCATGGGTGTGGGGACCAGTGACTTGCAGAGGGCAAATCTTAAGACCTTTGCACTGATTATAAATCTTTGTAGTAGCAAAGTTGGAGAGATTTCATAAGTATGTTTTTAGTTTGAATATAAATGACTATCTCTTAGAAAAAAAAATTTTTCCCTGCAAATGTGCCCCAATATGGCATTGATTTGTAGTGGGGCTTTTGTTGGTTTAAAAATATATCTATTATTAAATACTGAGTGTGTAATGTTTATAGTTGTCAATGACATAAATGTCAAAAAGATTTTTTAAATAGGAAAGTAAAGAGTTAAATACAGTTATGGCAACTTTATTTAAAAGAGCAATGAAATGGGAAATACATATTCAAGAAAGATCAATTAGACAAATTTAGCATATTCATACAATAGGAAACAATTAGATATTATAATTTTTCCAGAAAAATATTTACTTACTTGAGAAAATGTTTACAATATATATTAAGTGAAAAGTTGTAGCAAAATAATCTATACAGGACCGTCCCAGATTTATGGAAGCAATGTGCCTAAGGAAAAAAATGCATGAGGGAAAAAAAAGTCTGGAATGTTATGTATACTAAAAGTAAATACTGGTATTACAGGTGACTTCTATTTTGTCTTTCTGTGTCTTTTCCAATGATCGTATTATAAATCTAAATTATTTATTCATTAAAAGTTACATTTTAAAAAGCAAAAACCGGAGAACAAAATTTGGTGAGGCAGTTAAAATTTTATCCTTCAATAAAACTGAAACAATTTTATTTTTCATCAAAGTAGAAAGAACCAAAAGGCTAATGTCCATGACTGAAGCCAAATTTCCAGTCGATAATAGTTCTTCAAGCACACAAGCAAATCGGTGCTACAAAAAAAGTAATTAGGTGAAAATTAGAGAAAGACCAGCATTGCTACAACCAATATTACTGACTACATATATAGAAATTTTAAACTTCTTTTAACTCAAGTTGGGGAGGAAATTATTTGAAACACGTGCAGCTACAACAAACAAACAAAAAAGTGTGTATGTCTGTGCGTGATGACCGTGGGGGATGCGGACAGAAAAAGCGAAAGACTAGGTCAGGGGACTCAACTTTCTCCCCACCCCCATCACAACAGCCCCGTTATCTTCAGCAGTTTAAGATGAATGGCTTCATCCATGAAAAAAATTTGCTCTATCTTACTCGGTATAAAGATCAAGGAAAACGAAGACGCCTTATTTCTGTTAGTCGTGAGGCAACTTCCTCCCACCAGCATTTTGAGAGAAAACCAAAGCTGTAGTTGGAGAGACCTTCCTTCCCTCCCACCAGCGCCGTCACCACCACAGGCCTAATCCAAGTGGGAACAAAAGGAAAAAAAATGGCCCATGGAATTTTCCGCAGGGGTCTTTCTCTCTCTCCGGCTCAAATGCACGAACTGGACCAAAGCTACCTGACAAACCTTAGGAAGTGAGGCGACGTGATGGAAACATTGAGAACTTTCTGTGAAGTGGTCTAGAAGCCTCTCCCCAATCAGGGACACGGAAAATGGAGGGGAGACGGACGAGGACTCGGAAAGAGCCGGCAGGGGCAGGACCGCACCGGAGCGCGAACCTGGTGCGATGCAAATCCCCCTAGGTTCACACTTAACGCACCTACAGTGTTCCAGGCACTATGCTAAGGCGCTTCCGTACCTGTCAATTTTTATTTAATAAGCTTCCAGCTCGCACGGCAACTTCCCCTCCAGGGAATTTCTGAATATGCTCCCTCTTCCCAAGCATTCGCACATCTAAAGGTTGTAGACACAAGGACGACCGAGCCAAACCGCTGGACAGCTCCAGGTCTATCTGCAAGCGCCAAGCAAAATGCTTCCAAGGCCGCTTCCTCGCGGGGATGCCAGGGCCCAGGCTCGCAGGTCGAGGTTGAGTTTATTTACGCAAGAGCCTTAACCGACTCGCACGGGGACGGCACTCCGTCCCGCACCCGGCATGGCTCGCTGGTCAGTGCCCACCTTCCCACTCATGCCTCTGCTTCTCCGTGAAGGTGGAGAGTGCATTGGTCCCTATAGTAATAAAAGGGGTAAGCCAAGCGTTTGTTAGCTAGGCACTTTTCTAAGCGCTTTAACTACCTATTAACCCATTGAAACTCAACCGTGATAGTCCCGTTTTACAGACGAGGAAACTGAGGTTAAATCGCTTGCCCAAGATCAAGATTCGAACCCAGGAATTCTGGCATGGATTCAGAAGCCGCGCTGGAAAGGCTCCCCACTTTCAACGTCTCCAAGAACTTCGGGGCGTCCTCCCCACGACCCTTTCCCATTTTTCCTCCCCATCTCCAACTCAGGCTCCTGCTGCTCCGGGTCGGGTTTGGCCCACCGGGTACAGATGGTTCCAGGGGCGCCCACGGGATCCGCGCGCAAGACTCCTGTCCTTTTCAGGCTTGGACAGCGGGCGAGGCGCCGGGCCCAGCGCCTGGCACTCACCGTCCTTCCGGAGGGGTGCGGGGCTGCGGGGCGTCCTCAGCGGCAGCGCCAGGGTCTTGGAGACCGCCCTGCGGAGATACATCCTGCCCGCCGCCCACTGCGCTGCAGCGTCTGTAGCCGGGAGCGCCGCGGGACGCGGGGAGCCCGGGCGAGCCCCGCCCCGGGGAGGGGCGCCGACCCCTGCCCAACACCGCCCGGGCGGCGGCTAGGAGTGGGTCGTCCGCACCATCCCTCCTCGACCTCAATCTCCAGGCTCTGCGGCTTTCTCTGAGGTCCAAGAGCTGAAGGCGGCATCTCAGGAAAGGGATGGGGAACCAAGAAGTGGCCGTCACCTGCCTGCCCCGTACTGTTCCGCGGAGTGGGATTCCTCAGAGAAGGCTGGAACTGTTTTGCGGTTCGCATCCGGAACATAGACATGGGTTAGTATGCCGGATGAAATCTGAACCCACTTTATCTCACTCATCCCGTCAGCTATCCTAGGAGCCGAAAGGGTAGCTGGAAATTTCCTGGAAATGGAGCGGTGAGCCTCAGCTTTCCATTAGAGCACTGGGTGATGTTCAAAATCGTGAAATCCCCAGGCAATGGTTGACTCTCTAGGCAATTCATAGTTACAATAACTTTACATACAAGCCCCCAAATGCTGTATATTCCCTCTATGAGATGTGAAGCTAGTATTTCCAAATCAACTTAAAATGCTAAATTATTAGTTTCTCCCCCAGATTTCAATAATTTGCCTCATTGTGGCTACAATTTGTCAGTTTGAATATGAAAACCAATAATTTATAACACTTTCTGAATGATTAATCTTTGGTAGTGACCATTTCCTACTTACAGTAATCCCTTGTGTGTGTTTGGCGCTTGACAGTTTATAAGCACTTTCACATGTTCTCCCCTTTAATTCTCACTTCAGTCCTCTGAGGGAGGAGGCAATTATTCCCTTTAGTAAACGGTGGTGGGGAGGAATGTTCAGGGACTGGTGGACATTTTTTTATTTTTTAAGGACATGAATAGTTTTTCTAGTTCCAAGTTCTCTAAGGCATGTTACAGACAAAATATTTGCTCATTTGTTATTTAACTAAACATTCCTTGGAGATTCTAGTTCTGAACGCAATTCCAACAATATTTAACATATTCTCTTTTGAAGAGTACAAGCCAATGGTCAGAGCTGCTTTTTGATTACTCAGAGTAGATAGCTACTTCTAGGGATTAAATACTTAACAAGAGCCATTAGGTAATCTTCCGGTAATGAGAGGTCAGATTTAGACTTCTAAGCAGCGTGAGAAATGACTAGACCCAGACCCTCCCCAAAGAAGTTAAGTAGTTCTTAATCAATAGTGTTGTAAAGATTATGTGGGGTGTCAGACTGGCAGTGGACTTATTAGGGAGATCGCTTCATGGACTGTGTAGATTCCTGACCACTGCACTATACACCTGAAACTGAAGTTGAATAATATTGAATGTCAACTATAATTAAATATATATATATATATGTATATATAGATATAGATATATATAGTCACAGGATGTGGAGTACAGCATAGGGAATATGGTCAATGGTAATAGTAGCAGCTATATATGATGTTAGATTGGGTGGGGTTATCACTTTGTGAGAGGTGTAAATGTTTATTACATTGCTTTGTACACCTGAAACTATTTAAAAAACAAAAAACAAAAATAAGTTAGGTAGTCCTGAAAGCAACAAAATGCGGATTAGTACTTGCTACCTTTGACCAGCATCAGGCACACATCCTGCGGCGACTAGCGATTAGCTGTCTCTCTGGTGGTGCTGAATGTTTAATGAACTGCTAGCAACTAGGACAGGTTGACAAATAAAACCAAATCAGTCCAGAGCACTCAGAACCACTTCCGCTTTGGCCATACCGGATTTAAAATTAAAAACCAAAACAAATCTGTCTACCATTACAGCTCATTCTTTCCTTTGTGTACTTAGGGCTGAATTTTGATTTGGTTGCCAGGGAAAGGAATAGTCAAAAGCAGTAAATGCATTTATACTGCATTATAGTTATTTAATGTGTTGGAAGCTCCCTTAAAAAGGGTTCTTCTGAGTAAACATTTGTAAATGATGATGGCTCCCAGGACAACTATTTCCCCTTCAGAGCTCAGTTGTAGACTCAGGGTCTGGGTGTAGTCTGAGGCCTTCCGGGTTACCCCCAAGTTCCATAGCAGCCACCTAATCTGTCAGTCCAACTGTCTATAAGTATCTGTTAAATGCCTACAGTATGATAGGGACCCTGCTAGCTGCTGGGGATTGGGTATAGTTTATTTCACCAACATTTATCAAGTATCTATTATGTGTTAGGCACTGTTCCAGGATATTCTTCAGTAAGTAAGATATGATTTCTGCAATCACTCACGGAGATTATAATTTCAGGTTAAAGAGACTGAACCAACATCTTTTCTCGGGGGTACCTGCCAACCCACCATCAATGGGGTCAATAATCACAAAGACATCTCTGACCAGATATCAATAATAAATGTAATATAAGGGCTTTGGTTACAACCAAACTGGTTTAAACCATTCAAAAATAACACATGTATACAGGACTTTAAAAACTTTTCCCAAAGTACTGTCACATCTATTTTTGTACCTCATCCTCTTAACAATCCTAAGGAGTGGGTGGGGAATGTTGACGTTTCCCTGTGTTAACATCTGAAAAAAATCAAGGGAGTATAATACTGCGGTTAAGAGCATGCCTGGGCTGGCCGAGTGGCGCGATGGTTAAGAACTCGCTTGGGATGCCAGAGGGCCCCGGTTCGGATCCCACATATGAGGGCCAGTGACGCTGCCCTCCACAGCTAAGATGCTGAACAACAGCTCAACCTGGAGCTGGGCTGCCATGAGTCGCCGGCGACGGCGTGGGCTGCAGTCCCTGTGGCAGTGGATTGCCATGGGCTACCGTGTGTGGCCAGCAGCCAGCGTGAGCGGCCAGCAGCCGCAGTGAGCGGCCGTCCAGAAGCCGGCGACTGATCTGCCTCGCCAGAGAAGAGCGCAATGATGGTGCCAACTTGGGCCAGTGAAGCAACGTCCTCCACAACTAGACTGAAGAACAAAAACGACAGCAACTTGTCTGTTCCCCTTTCCCCAATTCCCCAGCACTGTTCCCATCCCCCCAATTTCCCAATAAAAATCTTTCAAAAAAAAGAGCATGCCTTTGGGAGTCAGACACCTGGTCTGATTTATTGGTCTGAGTAAAATGTGGATAATCCCTTTACTCCTAGGATTGTTGTGATCTCTAAAGCACATTAGGTATGAAACACGTCAGCTAGTTGGAGGAGTCAGTGCTAGGTTTTCACTTCCAGCCTAAGCCAAAGCTCAAGGCTCTTTTACTATGTTCTGCTTCCTGTCAGTGTACACATGACACTGTACACTTCGTATTCCACCATCTCATCTGATAGATGGTGGTAAAGTCCAGCGGGGAATTTATCATGTCCTCGTGATTGTGGCCATCCCAGCTGGGAAAGGCAAAAACTGAGATAAATAGTGCCATTTCTCCAGATCCCTTTTCATCTTAAGTTATTAAAACCTCATGCCTCTTGTCTGGAAGGGAATTTTCTACTAATTCTACTGCTCCTGTAAGAATGCTTGGCTTTCCATTTTGATGGCAGACTCTTTTCACATCTTGATAAAACATTTCTCAAGAGAGGACCTGCTTGTGTGTTGTCATATTCAGTCTGGCAGGTGTTTTTCCTGAGCCTGAGAGAATTTTAACATTAGGTCTTTGCCACTGAAGACTCTGTGAGGTTCAGACAAGTTTCCCAGCTGTTGGTCACATTGTTTATAATGCTGCCCTTGAGTATGTATCCTTGACATTTTTTTTTGGTCTTGTTGGAAAAACAAGAATCTAGGGGCACAGATAACTTGGTTTATCTAAGATGACCTCTACCTAATTGTGACTGTTGACAAAGATATTAGTTTTGAAAACATATTGTAAGGGTCCTCTACTGGCAATATTAATCATCCTTATTCAAGGCTTAAGTGCTATGTAATTAAAAGAAATTTTCAAAGACTGAGTGATTTCCTAGGCTCCACAGAAAACTAGAAACAGCTTTGTTTTTCTTAGCACTAAATTCTTAGGCTATGACTTGTACTTTCAACAGATCCATATGGATATAAAGTGAAACAATTTAGAAGAGTATCTAGGAAGACAAATTGGCAAGCAATTAAGAAAGTTCTAATGAAAGCATCCTCTTGATGTCCTAAAATAGATAAAATGAAGGGGAAAAAGGATAATCAAGATGGTAAATTCTGAAACTATGTTTGGAGCATCAGAACTCTCCTCCCCATCTACTCACTTTCTCTTCTGTAACAAAATATACAGGACATTCCCTAACACTTCTGTATTATTTCCCTAGGGCTACAATAACAAATCACTACAAATTTGGATGGCTTACCACAGAAATTGGTTCTCTCACGGTGCAGGAGGGAAGAAATGTGAAATCAAGGTGTCGGCAGGGCCATACCCTTAGAAACCTGTGGAGAATCCTTCCTTGCCTCTTCTAGTTTCTATTGGCTGGTAATCCTTGGCTTGTAGATGCATCATTTCCATCTCTGCCTCCATCATTACATGGCTGTCTTCTCCATGTGTGCCTGTCTCCTCCTTCTTATAAACATACCAGTCATATTGGATTAAGGGCCCACCCTACTCCAGTATAAACTCAACTAACTACATCTGCAACTACCTTGTTTCCCAATTAGGTCACATTCTGAGTTATTGGGGTTAGGACTTCAACATATCTTTTTTTTTTAGAAACAAAATTCAATGCATAACTTCTTGTAGTACTAGAAATTGAGATCATATAGCGTGTTTTTTTCCATGGCAACTTATGAAAATAACTTAAATGACATCACTGGCCCTAAACCTAATAAAAGGTCTACCTGATTTTGATCTAATAAAAAGCTTGACTGTATTCAGCATATGACTGTATTTTGTCTGCATCCTCTTTTCTTATGGAAACTCTTTCACATCATTACTAAAGGAACCATCATTTGCCATTTCTCTTGGGAATTTAGAACCAGAATGATTCTTGTTCAGTTCAGCTACTCTTGAACTGAAATGTAAACGTAGGAATTGACTGTGGCCTTCTCTTTACAAAGTGGATTGGGGAAGAGAAGTTCCATGTGCAGAGAAAATAAAGCGGATACACAGACAGCAGAGCCAAGAGCAAAAGTCTTGATGACATTTGAGTCCAGGTGTATTCCTGTTCTTGGGGTCTGTGAGTCACTGTATCCTCATAACCTTTTTATTTTTTTTTTAGCTGAGCCATCCTGCCACCTGTTGGCAGCTCAGCTAGGGCAGGACTCGAACCGCTGTTGCTCAGAGCTCACTCTTGAGCGAGCTCTTAGCCAACTGAGCCACTCAGCCGGCCCTCCTCATAACCTTTTTATCTTAACATAGTTTAAGTAAGGTTTCAATATTTAATTTGCATTTTTTTCTAATCAGCACCAGTATGTAGCACAATTCTAGGAGGTGTTACTTATGGAATAATCTACATCTGTGCTGTCTAAAATACAACTGCCACCAGCCCCTTGTGACTACCGTATTTGCCGGCATATAAGACAACTGGGCGTATAAGACGACCCCCTAACATTTCCACTCAAAATACAGAGTTTGTTATATGGTCGGCTGTGTGCGATTTTGCGAGTGTGGTAAAATCGCATAACAGCCGAGCATACACCCAGCAGCGCTGCTGATGCCTGAACGGTATGTGGAATGAAGTGGGCGGGCATCGGGAGGCCACTATGGCACGGGGCAAGCACTATGGGCAGTCTATCTGAAGTGTACCTGGCGTATAAGACGACCCCCACTTGGAGGCATATTTTTCAGGGCCAAAAAATCGTCTTATACGCCGGCAAATACGGTACTTAATTAAAATTAAATATATTCAGTCACATTAAATCATATTCCAAATGCTCAAAAGCCACATGGGAGTACTGGCTACTGTATTGGATAGCAGATAGATTTCCATCATTGCAGGAGGTTCTTTAGGACAGCCCCAAATGGCTTCACGAATGGCTCCCCCTGGAGTTATAGAGGCACAATCAGGATGAAAGTCCACACTTGGTAACAGACATACAGTAGATATTGTTTATTGAAGTTATAGTTATTATTTTCAACTGAAGCTGTCAGTTTCCGGGATTTCAAGTGTCTTTGAGTTTTCTGTTCCCTTTAGAGATATGAATTTTTAAGTTTTTTTGGTGCAAAGTACCTTGGATTGGGAGTTATACCTGATTTCTTGGTCTCTATTACCATGTGACAACAGTAGTTTCCTACTGCTGCTATAACCAACTCAGTGGTTTAAAAAACAACAGAAAGAACTTATTATCCTACAGTTTCATAGGGGAGAAATCCGACACGGGTCTCAAGGGGCTAAATCAAGGTGACAACAGGGCTGTGTTACCTTCTGGAGGCTCCACGGGAGAATTTGTTTCTTTACTTTTGCATTCCTTGGCTCTTGGCCTCCTTCCATCTTCAAAGCTAGCCATGGCCAGTTGAGTCTTTCTCACATCACACCGCTCTCAACACTCTTGCGCCTCCTTCTCCCACGTCCAGGCACCCCTGTGATTACAATGGGCCCAACCAAATAATCCAGGATAGTCTCCCCATTTCAGTGTCAGCTGATTAGCAAACTTAATTCCACTTGCAGCCTTAATTCTCCTTTGCCACATAACCTTACACACAGATTCCAGGGAGTAGGACACGGTTATCTTTGGGGAATCCATTATTCTACCTACCACAGTGATGTCGGGTAAATCACTCTTCACCTCTGGTTTCTGCATTTGTGAAATTATGAGACTGGTCCATAGGACCCCTAAAGTCCTTTCAGGCTCTATCAGCCAGAACTCCAAATTGACAAGTTAATGGTTACTGTTAAATCTGGTCTTTCACTGGATTTGGATTAGATATTCCGAAATAATGTAACTGAATTTATATTTGAAGTGACTTCCAAAGATATTGAGCCATGAATCTCCTAGAGTAAGTGCTGTCCAGAGCCCAAAACACATACAAAACCAATTATAAGGCAATAAACCTTTCCACTTAACATCAAAATGGAGACACAAATATTACATTTTTAAATGTATAGTACACTAAATGTTTAAATTACCAATTAACAAAGTGGCATATAAATAAGTTTTAACTGATTCACAAGAAAGGATTATGATGAGGAATAAATGCAGTATGTTTTAATGTGTATCTGTTCCCCCTTTTTAAACAGTCAGGAGTTTGCTGATCATTGAATGAAAGTCAGTATTAGCAAAAATGGACAAGAAACCTCACGATGCCATAACCAGTCACCCAAATGAAAATTATTCAATTTCAAATAGAGTCAGAAGAAACTCTAGTAATAGGATTCATCTTTACTTTGTGACTTAACCAAAATGGCTCCTCTAGAAGAAAAGAGTATTTGAGCTCTTTTGATTTTGAGTAACAAAGTAGTTCTATCAACCATGATGCATGGTTGATTAGAAATTAAAAGCTGATATAAGGAGTTCAGCAGTGATTTTTTAATGTATTTCCTTAGCAAGTTTTCTTACCAATGTGTCTTTAATTACCACTGACCCTGTTATCAGATGGTACCTTCCACAATGAAATACTTCTAATAATGTACTTAGGCTTGACATTTTCTACATATTGTCACAACATACGTAATCTGAAGAATACAGAAGTATTTTTATTTTTCATTTACGATGCAAAACATAAATGCTGATTTGACATATATTCACATATAACTTTTTCTCTCACGTTCACAGCTCAACAGACTGAACTGCTTTAGTCGCTATATGGAGCATACCTATAATGAAGAGAAAAAAATTAAAACTATAGCATTAACCAGCAAAAATTCACCTTAGAGCATCAGGAAAAGTCTAGAAAACAAATCCACAGAGACATCAACTCCTGATTTTACTTACGTTTTAGCAAAAAATATTTTATTTGAACTCCAAAAGAGTACCAAAGCATCTGGATTTGATTTAAATACCTATTTCATTTTTACCTCTTGATTGGCTGACTGAAGTAATGAAATGGGCTACTGAAGTAGTGAAATTAATAGAAAAAAAACAGCAAAAATTTGGCTAAGCAAACTCTAAAGAGTTGAGTTTGATAGTTGTTAACTATGAGAAGGAAAAAGTACATTAGTGATTCCTATTTTATTCAGCAGGTATGTTGCTGAGTACATGACGATTAATAAAATAGACAGGGTTCCTATTTTCATGGGATTTATACTCAAGTGTGGTATATGACAAACAGATATTAAAGAACATATACATAAACAATGATCACTTTTCATAAGTGCTATGAAAGCACTGTATACAACCCTATTAGATTTAATAAAATAATATGATTTGGGTTTCATTCTTAAACATAATTTTCTTTGAACACAGTCAAAACATAATGGTTAAAAATGATTATGCTAATAATACTTGAGTCAAGGTATTAAAAAGTCATAAATTCACCACAGACAGGAATATAGGTACTAAAAAGCATAAACCTAATAAAAACAACCAAAATACATTATTTTTAAAAGTTCAAATTAATTTATATAATCTATTCATCCTATAAAATTGCATACTTACCATATAAGTATTTTAAAAGTTTATGCCAATCCATTTCTTCTTTCATACTCTAAAACATCTTCATTATGTTGTTTGATGAGCTAGAAGGAGGTAACAGTTACAATTAGAGATGTAATCTTCCTGGCAACTTAAAGAGGAACAGGCTACTTTTTACATTTTGCAAAGGAGTAAGGACAGATTAAAAGAATTAGAACTATTCTAGTTAGAAATAAAAGGCTAAGATGCAGATGTAAAATACAACATAGAGAATGTGGTCAATAATGTTGCAACAACTATGTATAGTGCCAGGTGGGTACCAGGCTAATCAGGATATCACTGCAAAATTAAATAAATGTGTAACCATTATGCTGTACACCTGAAACTAATATAAAATAAGATTAAGAGTCACTGTAACTAGAAAAAAAAAACATTAAAAAAAAAAAAAAAAGAAAAGGCTAAAAGATGCTAAAGTCCAAAAACTATGGATATATACTAGGTATATACTTGTTCACGACAACCTGACATACTCAATTTGAGAAGGCAACCCTTAAAAGTTTAAATTCAAGTTTTTCCAAATAAATTACTTCACTCAGTGGGTAGTTAATGGAATGGAATGCCTTACCACAGAGGGGCTAAACCAGCATGACAAAGCAGAACTTGATTATTAAACCAGGCAGGTTGGTGTGTGTGTTATATTTCTAAACTTAGAAGTGTGATACTGTGAGTGAATGACGAACCTCATCCCCCAACTATAAGTATGTGTATTAATTTGATGTCATGGAGGACGGCTACTTTCTTAGAACCGCACTGTCTGACAGAATATGCAACTGGAACAATGGTTGGTATAGGGTGACATGTGCTGCAATTAAAGATTTAATTTCTGTCAGAGCTCTCAGCAACAATTAAGCTTCTTTTTGGAAAACTTTAACAATGTACAAAGTCATTATTACAAATATTTTAAAAAAAGGATTAGTTACTGTTGTTAGGTTTTAAGTGACTTTCAACATCTCTTACTCCTTTCCATGCGAAAGAGCTGAACCACTTTAATGAGGGAATCTAAAATATGAGATCTAAGAGTTGGAAGTGGGGGCAGGGGAGGAAGCCCCAAACCCATTAGATATAGAACAGAAATTTTAAATACTAATGTAGCACAGATACCTTGAATCAACTCTTTAAAAATGTATCTATAGGGAGGTAGTATTTCAGAGCTGTCTATAGTATGGCTAGCTCTGAAGTCAGGGAGAACCCGGTTCAGCAAACTAATTTCTCCAAGTGTTTTCTTCATCTGTTCAAGGTCAATGATAACAGTACCTAGAATACAGTGTTGCTTAAAAGATTATAAAGTTTTTGCATGTAAGCTGCTGCTACACACTAAGTACAATTCCCAACAATATATTTATACAAACATTAGTTTGTATAAAACATTATGTTTGGAAGTCTAATGGGATGTTATTTGTATACCTTGTTCGCTGATGGTTTGTCCCTATGGCATCTGAAAAAAGTGCCTTCGTAAAACCCCAAGCAGCTTCCATCCTCATTAAGCAATAAAGGATAATTAATATGTAGTAAAACTGCCATTCATGACAAAACCATGCTAAGTAGCAATGAATGACAGGCATTTCAGCTTCATCGTATTTTCTTGATGCCATTGAAACCTTAACATTTTTTAGTCTTTGGGATTTTCCTCATGGAGAAACGTGTTATTAGCTATTACATCAGTATCCTATTTGTGGGAGATCTGCTCAAAAACATTCCATCTCACACTGATGTTTCTCGTCCCCACCGTGTCCGGGCCACACGACATAAGGGAGTCGAGGCTTACACAGATCCACATGAAGGCGGAGGTGCCCAAGGCGAATCCAACTTTCAGCCAGTCAGGTTTGTCATGGAGCGGCTCCCGAACATAGAACTTTGACCGCGCTGAAGCTGAAAGGAGACAAGAGTCTGTAAATCTGTAACTAACCGCCTTGTCGGAAAAACACCTAGTATTTACATGTGTTTTATCGCTTTTAATTCTCCCTTCAAGGACCCCCCCCCCCCCCCCC